GGTCGTTTTTATCTCAGACTTTCAGTAGAGAGTTCAGTGTGTCGGTAGATGAGCTTGAGTGTCTGTTGCGAGTTTCGATCGCCAACGAGCACGGGATTTCTGCTTCAGTTTACCGGGGATGCGAGCTGGAGATTTTCGGGGTATCATTCCCGATAGATTTGATTCCTATTCCCATGGGGGAAGTATGTGTGATCGTAGGGATGGATTGGCTCAGCCGGTTTGGAGCCATGATCAACTGTGAGGGACAACGAGTAGTAGTTCGAACCCCAAGTGGGGGAGAACTGGTGGTATATGGTGAGGGCACCAGAGTAGGATCAGGGTTTTGTTCGGCCGCCAGGGCTCGACAGTATATTCAACACGGATGTGCAGGTTATTTAGCGTGTGTGGTGGACACGCGGGTCAGGGATCAGACTTCAGTTTCAGAGGTCCCGATGGTTAGAGAGTTTGCTGACGTGTTTCCAGAGGAGTTACCTGGAGTGCCTCCGGAGAGGCAGGTGGAGTTCAGGATTGATCTGGTGCCGGGGGCGGCCCCTATCGCTAAGGCGTCGTACCGACTGGCACCGCCAAAGATGCAGGAGTTGTCATCTCAGTTGCAGGAGCTGCTGGGTAAGCAGTTTATTCGTCCGAGTAGTTCCCCATGGGGAGCACCGATCCTCTTCGTCAGGAAGAAGGACGGTTCGCACAGGATGTGCATCGACTACAGGGAGTTGAATAAGCTAACGGTGAAGAACCGTTATCCACTCCCAAGGATAGATGATCTTTTCGATCAGTTGCAGCGTGCATCTTGGTTTTCCAAGATCGACTTGAGATCCGGGTATCACCAGGTCAGGGTGAGGGAGGAAGACGTGGAGAAGACCGCGTTTCGGACTCGTTATGGTCATTACGAGTTCGTGGTGATGCCGTTTGGGCTCACCAACGCACCGACAGTATTCATGGATTTGATGAATCGGGTCTGCAGACCGATGCTCGATCGCTCGGTCATTGTGTTCATAGATGATATCTTGTTGTATTCCAAGACCCGAGAGCAGCACGAGGAGCACCTCAGGGAGCTGCTGGAGATTCTGCGACGAGAACGGCTGTATGCCAAGTTCTCGAAGTGTGAGTTTTGGTTACGAGAGGTCCAGTTCCTCGGACATCTCGTTAACCAGGAGGGGATTTTGGTCGACCCGGTCAAAGTCGAGGCGGTTATGCAGTGGGAGATTCCGAAATCTCCCTCCGACATCAGTAGTTTCTTGGGATTAGCAGGGTACTACCGGAGATTTATTCGAGATTTTTCCAAGGTTGCAGTACCCCTCACTCGTCTAACGAGGAAGGGGGTGGATTTCCGGTGGGGCTCTGAGCAGCAGAGAGCGTTTGAGACCCTCCGGCGATGTTTGTGTGAGGCGCCAGTGTTGACGCTCCCCGAGGGAGTCAAGGATTTCGTAGTATTTTGTGATGCGTCCATCACAGGTCTGGGGGCGGTCCTCATGCAGAGGGGACGGGTGATAGCCTATGCATCGCGGCAGCTGAAGCCGCATGAGACGAGATACCCTACGCACGATCTTGAGTTGGGAGCGGTGGTTTTCGCTCTCAAGATTTGGAGGCATTATCTGTACGGGGTCCGATGTACTATATACACGGATCACAAGAGTTTGAGGCACATCATGGATCAGCCGAACCTGAATATGAGGCAGCTCAGGTGGCTGGATGTAGTCAAGGACTATGATTGTGAGATCCTTTACCATCCTGCTAAAGCGAATGTGGTTGCGGACGCTTTGAGCCGCAAGTCAGCTGGGTCCTCTACCCCGACAAGGTGTATGAGGATAGCGGTGGATTCCCCGCTTGTGAGCTTGATTAGGGATGCTCAGGTCGAGAGCATGAGACCAGAGAACTGGAAGATGGAGCGGATTAAGGGCGAGAACGCCCGGTTTGTTCAGGATAGCCGCGGATTATTGACCCGACACGGTCGGGTTTGGGTTCCGATGTCCGGAGGGATCCGACAGACAGTGATGGAGGAGGCTCACAAGTCTCACTTTTCTATACACCCGGGGGCCACCAAGATGTACCGGGATTTGAGTTTAAAGCTACTGGTGGCCGTTCATGAAGCGAGAAATCGCTTGGTACGTCGAGAGGTGCTTGACTTGTAGGATGGTCAAGGCCGAGCATCAGAGGCCGCATGGTAAACTGCAGCCCCTGGAGATTCCCATGTGGAAATGGGAACAGATCACGATGGACTTTATTACCAAGTTGCCGAGAACGGCGAAGGGGCTTGATGCTATATGGGTCATCGTGGATCGATTGACCAAGAGTGCCCATTTCTTGGCCATACGGGAGAGTTCGTCGGCCGAGAGATTGGCTGATATGTATGTCAGCGAGATTGTCTCTCGCCATGGGGTTCCAGTCTCCATTGTCTCCGATCGGGATGTCAGGTTTACTTCCCGTTTTTTGCAGAAGTTTCACGAGGAACTGGGTACGCGGCTGGACTTTAGTACAGCTTTCCATCCGCAGACCGACGGTCAGAGCGAGCGGACCATTCAGACCCTCGAGGATATGTTGAGGGCGTGTGTTATTGATTTCGGTGGGAGCTGGGATTCTCACCTACCGCTGGCAGAGTTCGCCTACAACAACAACTATCATTCCAGTATTGGCGCCGCGCCTTTTAAGCTGTTATATGGTCGGAGATGTAGAACCCCGGTCTGTTGAGGTGAAGTTGGACACAGAGTGATGGGTCGAACAGAGGTAGTCTTGCAGACTACCGAAAAGATCCAGCAGATCAGACAGCGGCTGCAGACCGCTCAGAGTCGGCAAAAGAGTTACGCTGATAGACGCCGATCGGATTTAGAGTTTCATGTTGGTGACATGGTACTTCTGAAGGTCTCGCCCTGTAAGGGTGTGATCCGCTTCAGGAAGAGAGGAAAATTAGGTCCCCGTTATATTGGGTCATTCAGGATTATTGCCAGGGTTGGCAAGGTGGCTTATAGGCTTGAGCTACCGGAGGAGCTCAGCCGAATTCATAGCACGTTCCATGTTTCGCAATTGCGGAAGTGTATTATGGACCAGGAGGCAGTAGTATCGATGGATGATATTCAGGTCGATGAGCGCCTGAATTACGTGGAGAAGCCTGTAGCCATCTTGGAAAGGAAGAAGAAAATTTTGTGGAATAAAGAGATACCTTTGGTAAAAGTGTAGTGGGAGCATCGGAGAGGATCCAAGTGGACGTGGGAGCCGAAGGCGGAAATGCAGGAGCATTACCCAGCATTGTTTATTCCAGCAGACTTCGAGGGCGAAGTCTAGTTCAAGTAGGGGAGAATTGTAACGCCCCGATTCCCAGGTATTGTTTAAATAAGAATTTAATTGGTTTCAAGGCCTACTCGACGAGTTGGTTGCCCTGCTCGTCGAGTAGCAAAGGGTTTGGTACGCGTGTTTAGTGACCTACCCGCTGAGTCCATGAAGGGACTCGACGAGTAGGAGCTGGCAGAGGAAACCCTAAATCCCGGGGTTTTGCACCCTATTTAAGGAAGCATAAGCCTCCTTTGGCCTCTTTGCAGTTCTAGAGAGCTCTTGAGAAACCCTAATTCGTGTGGTGCTCTATTGTGTGTGTATTAAGCTTGGGAGGAAGATCTTTGGAGAAGAGGAACTTGGAAGGCAAGGGAATTGGAGCAAGGGAAGTGTGGGAATCAGAATCTACCTCAGTTAGCATCTTCCAGAGGTATCAAGTCGCCACCTTTACTTCTTTTCCCTTCTAGATCTCTTTTTGGTTGAGTTTGGGGCTTTTATGGATCTTTGAGTGGATAAGGTGGACTATGGGCTAGATCTGAAGTTGTAACTTCAGATCTGGACCCTTCTTAAGTCCTAGAGTCATAAAGTTTTTGGTTTGGGCGTGAATGAAACCTCTTTGAGTATGAAACCCCCATTGTAAGTTTGGATTTGACATTAAGAGCCTTTGTAGCTATACATGCACGTAAAGTTTGCAACTTTACGTGAAAAGCATGCCTTAGAAGCTTGGATCTGTAGTTTGGAGCCGCTGCATGGCTCAAATGAGTCTGTATGGCAAAAAGGACTGAAGGGACTCGGCGAGTCGCATGGTCGACTCGGCGAGTCATATGAAGATAGGCATGAACTCGGCGAGTTGGAAGAACAACTCGGCGAGTCCAATGAAGATTGTCGTAGACTCGACGAGTGTATGAACAACTCGGCGAGTCGGATGAGGTTGCCCCAAATTATGTATGCGCGGGTAACTGTCGAGTTGCAATAAGGAAGCTCAACGAGTGGTCTTAGGGTCTCGATCGTAAACCAAAGGAACTTGACGAGTCACTCAGGTGACTCGGCGAGTGGGTTAGTACTTCAAGGAACTCGGCGAGTAGCCGGGGGTACTCGGCGAGTCGAGGTCAACATGGACTATTGACCTTGACTGATGACTCTGACTTTGACCAGGATTGATTAGTTGGCTTATGGGTATGATTATACTATGGTTATAGGTGGTGGAGTTTGTGGCAGTGATCCGAGGGTTGAAGTTTATCTACCGAGTCGACATCTGCAAGGTGAGTTATCTTCACTATATCGATAGGGTCTAAGGCACCAAGGCCGGCCCTTTTAGTTGTTATCGTTATGGTATGCTACATGTGGATGTGATCTGTTAGATCAGAATCAGGATAGATAGTATGTTATGCTCTTATGATCCGTAGGGATTGATATGTTAGTGACCTGCTAGGTCAGTGCTCTAGTTATAAGAGATTGCTATGTTTGGATGCTCAGTGAGATAGATATGTTTGATGGTTGTATATGCCAGTATATGTTAGTTATGTGCACATGGTTACTTGCTTGTTGCTTGGGTTGAGGCGGTCCTGCTTTGTGCTGAAGGCCAACACACCCTATGAGCGGTCCGGGAAGACTGTAGGCCCACGTGGCGGTCCAGTCATGCCGAAGGCTCAGTATAAATTCAGTTGGACTGTAGGCCCTGTAGGGCGGTCCAATCAGGCCGATGGCCCAGTATGCATGTTGATTGATTGATTATTACGGATATGGTATTATCAGTGTGGTATTGGTATTTTGAGGGGTAGCTCACTAAGCCATCGGGTTTACAGTTTTCAGTTTATTGTTTCAGGTACTTCAGGAGTTCATGGCAAGGCGAAGGCGTGACCGTACCGCTCATCATCCTTATGATCTGGCTTTTGGGACACTCTGATTGAATAATGAATTGTAAACATTTTTGTAAACAATACTATTGGGTTTTATTTATGCTTGAAAAGTTTAAATTTGGCGTAAAATTTTTGGGTGTTACATCAAAAATGAAGGAGAGGGATTAACGTTTCTCAAGAGGGTTTTGGAGGTGATGGAGGCTGAGGGTGAAGGAAACCCTAGCCCTTCACTTCCTTTAAATAGGGTCCAATGTCCGAAAATTAGGGTTTTCCCCTTATCAGGTGTCACGTCGTGACCAACATAGTGTCATGTCGTGACACTTAAATGATCTTTCCCGTTTATCGTGGCCATGTAACAACGTGACGGCGCTTCCCTCACATCGTGAGCCACCCACAAATCATATTTTACTTCAAATTTCATACCTCGAGGATCCAGATGTTACAACCAAAACTACAAATTCTATATAAAAAACTTTCTGCTTCAGTTACCTTCAATGGATTCCTGAGGCAAAGCTAAACAAATCGGTTATAGCCAAAGACATAAATCCACGTTAGGTGGTTCAAGTCAAGATAATCCATTTTATTCTCCAGGATTTCAAAACCCAAACTATCAACAATACCAAAACTACCAACAAAACCAAAACTATCCACAACAATATTACCCGGTGCAATAATCTTACAACACATTTAGGCTTTCAGAGGAAAATTCGGGTTATAATTCATGTAATCAGTTTTCTCAAAGGGTTCCAGAAACCCAATTCCAATATTCTCATCCTAAGACTTTCCATTTTTGTGATTCTCAGAACGTAGAACATGACAGTTCTAGTGACGTCCCAGCTCCCGAAAGAAACGAAGAAGACGATGAGTTACAACCCATTGCCGAGAAAAAACGCAACTATACAAAGCGTCAGAAATCAAAGAAATGGGTGGAACGTGAAGAGTTGGATTTGGCTAGGGCATATGTCGATGTTTCTGAAGATAAACAACGTGGAAATCAACAAAGTTCAGATGCATTTTGGGAGCGGGTTCTAGAACATTTTAATGCTCAAATGGGAGGTTCGGATCAGTCATGACACCTAGTAAAATCAAAATGGAAAGACCTTCAAAAGAAATATAATGATTTCAACTGCATCTACAACCGTAGGATGAAGAGTTTGGCTATCGGGAGATCTGAGACCGATGTTTTAAAAGATACACAAAGCGAGTATTAGAGGACTAGTAATCATAAAGTTTTTCCTCATGAAAAAGCTTGGGAGTGGTTGAAAGACCATGTGAATGGGCGTTGGTTAAAAAAGTTGGTGAAGACTACCCACCTCTTTCTTCAAAATGAACCAAAACATCTTTATCCAACGCCTACACAACACCTTCCGATGCACAGTATCCTCCCGGACTCCCCCAACAAAAACAGGCGTTTAATGTTGAAAACTCACCGCTCAGAGAAAAAGAAAAGGAAAGAAATCGGCATCGGTATCGTCAACACAAAATGAATTATTTGATCTCATCAATGAAATTGCTGCCATCAACACTGTAACCCGAACATGGGTGGAACAGGAGACAACGGTACCGGGATGAAAAATTATGCATTTTTCAAGCTAATGAAGAACGAAAAGCTCAATTGTTGGACCGGGAAATAGAGAACCAAGATATGCAGTATTTTTCTCCAACCGCATGATCATTTGACTGAAAGCATTATGTGCACAGTGTGTAACATCATGAGTGTTATCCCAAAAAAAATTCATTTTATTTAACACCTTTTTAAGAGAAAATGCAACAGAAGTCTTTTATTAATTCGTAATTTAAAACAAACCACACGTTACCATCTTTCAAAAACAACTCAATTAAAACCGTTTAAGTTTAAGAAAACCGTTATGGAACAAAAATAACAACCAAAACATGTCAAAGTGGTATCGTCTAACTAAAACATACTACCCAAATCCACGCTCCTAAGCTACATGTACTGAGCCAAATGCGCAAAGTACAACAAACAAGTGTCAGACGCTGCTGAGTAAGTTAATAAAAGTTGCATATAGTCATAAGGATACTACAATTCCCACACGGACCAACAATTCAATTTACGACAAAACAAAATTAAGCAACTCACATATACAACACATATAATAACAAATTCATCGTGTATCACCAAAATCATCTCATACCACCAAAAAGAGCACATACCACCAAAAGCAACACATCACAAAAAGCATCACATATCACCAAAAACAATAGATATCCCCAAAAAAACATCACATACCACCAAAAACAACACATCACAAAAAGCATTACATATCACCAAAAACAATAGATATCCCCAAAAATGTCCTATGATAGGCATGAGTTTCTCCGTGCATCCTATCCCAAGGGAACTACCCAATTCCCTACTCGTGTGCCCACATTATTGAGTGTTCTAAGTGGCTCATGACTTCCACCCGAAACACCCATTTCACTACTCCGACTCTACGAAACACATGTATTAGCGGTGTCGTTCATAAATTGGTATCAACGGTGTCGTACATCCATAAGACATCTCAATCCAGCGTGATGTTTGTACTGGTCCACACCACTCTGGTCCACAAACATGTAGTGACAAAGTACATGTACTATGTGTCGCGAGATCTTCTAGAAAGCCTAGCAATGCATCAATGCACTTGACAGGCTCTTTAGCATGGTCATCTAGCTAGTCTGAAACCAACAAATAACAAATAGCAAAACCACTCATATAAACCAATGTGTAATTGTATCATCTTCATATTCTATATACACATGAGTTCACCAACTCAAAGTATTATCAATAGCCTTTACAAAAGATAAAAGAATCATATATCATTGACCTCTTTGTGCAAATTCAAATGTATATAATTAAAGATTTACAAAAACATGCAAGAATCATAAAATAACACGTGATTCATACACACTATCCAAATCTTACCTTGTAGAACCAATAAATTGAGGCCGAAGTCCTGTAACAAAACAAGGCTGTGTCAACTTCGCATAAACACCATCTTTCATCGCCGCAAGCGAATCATGAGTCCCTTGCTCCACAATTTGACCTCCATTGACAACCAAAATCTTATCAACTCGTTTCATCATCGCCGCCCTTCTCGCAACCAAAATCGTCGTTTTACTTCCGATCAAAAGCGTATCAAGAGCCTCCTGCACCACACGTCTCGATTCATGTTCAATCGTCCCATCAGCTTCATCAAGCAACAAAATCGGTGCGTTTTTCAACACCACACGCGCAATCGCAATTCTCAGTTTCTGTCCTGGCGTTAACTCCACGCCACCGGGACCCACCAGAGTGTCGTATCCGTTTGGTAAACTGCTTATGAAATGGTGAGCGTTTGCGATTCTTGCCGCCTCTTTGATTTCAGTTTCGCTCGCATTACGTCTCGCGTAGGTTATGTTTTGTTTAATCGTCGTCGCGAAGATTACCGGTTCTTGTTGGACAAACCCTAGCTGGTTCCTTAGCCATCGTAGATTGAATTTTCTCAAATCTTCTCCATCTAGAAGAATCTCCCCGGAAATCGGATTGTAAAATCTTAAAATCAGAGAAAGTATCGTGCTTTTACCGGAACCGGAAACTCCGACTACACCCACCGTATGTCCGCCGTCGATTTTCACGGTAAAATCTCTCAACACCATGATTTCCGGACTATTTGGGTAACAGAAATCGACATTTTTAAACTCGATTGTCCCATACGCGCTAACTGGTTTAAGTGCAGAAGCTTTATCAATCTCAGAAACATGATCGATGATCTTAAAAACCCTAGTGAGAGTTTTTCGTGTCTTGTGTATGTTAAACGCGAGCCCAAATGGTTCCACTAGTGCGAAAGTTGCAAATGAGAGAACGATGTATTCTCTAAGAGCTGTTGGAAGATCGATATTCCCGTTTTTTACAGAAACACAGGTGTACCAAAGTAGAACAGAATTGCAGGCGAAGAGGATGAATCTTGAAAACCCAAACATGAATCCTACAGACATTCCATGATAGAAAGTTTTTCTGTAAACTTTCTTTAGGTATAAACTGTAAAGCCTTGATGCTTCGTTTCCAGCAGAATACGCCATGAAAGTAGAGATGTTTCCCACTACATCTTGTAGAACCATGGATGCTTTCTTGTGAAGCTTCTCGATGCCACGTGAGAATCCAGAAATCCATGTTTTCTGAGAAGTTAAGATCAATTGTTTTAAAAGCGATAAAAAGGTGAAGATTAATTGTGAATATTGACAAAAAGTCAAAAACCTGTGCAGATGCAGAGAGTGTGAGAAATGGTATGGTGGTCAACGCCACCATGGTCAACCTCCATTCGAGAGTCAACCCAATAATTACAGCAGTAAAAGCAGCAGAAAAGTCTTGGGCAAGAATAGGAAGCTGATCAGTGAAAGCAGCACGAACATACGTGGCATCATTAGCCAAGTGTGTCAACAACTTGTCACTATTATTCTCTTCTTTATCAAACCATCCTACTTCACTCTCAACCATGGCTGAAAACATCATCCTTCTAATTCTTTCTGTTATTTTTTCTCCCACAATTCCAAAGTAAAAATGTTGCAAAACAGTGGCTACTAAAATAACGATAGCCATACATGCGATTATCAAGCACCATTTGTTAACTTCAATTTGAATGTTATGGCTTTTATCAGCTTTATAATATGAAGTCACTATCAACCCAACAATGTAGGCAAGAATAGGTCTAAAAGATCCATAAATTGAAGCCCCTACACTTCCCAAAACTGCATACATCCACTCTGGTAAACTTAGCTTCATGACTCTTGTTAAAGATGGTGAATTTTGATCTTTCTCTTTTAACTGAGGGGCATCATCATCTACCCTTTCATTGTGATTCTTACTTGGTAATCTACAAAATATAAAAACTCATTTAACCACCATAAACATTGCTATGAATATCTTGCATTTTGGTGAAAGAATATTATACCTTTCAGGAAGTTTGACTACTTGTTCACATTTAAGAAGCTCATAATAAACACCATGTGTGTTGATCAGTTCATCATGTGTACCCATCTCAACACATTGACCACTTTCCACAACAGCAATAAAGTCAGCATCTTTTACAAGACTTAATCTCCGAGCGATCATGACCGCTGATCTCCCAAGTGTAATCATCCTTAAAACTTCATGAACACCGTTTTCTGCTTCCAAATCAAGATTACTTGTAACTTCATCAAGCAATAGAATTGGAGGGTTTGAAAGAACAGCTCTAGCAATAGAAATTTTAATCTTGTGTTCATCTGTGAATTCTAAACCAAGTTTATCCACGTGGGTTTCATATCCATTTTGAAGGGAGGTTATGAATGTATGCACATGTGCTAATTTTGCAGCTTTTTTGATCTGTTCTGAAGTGATGTCAGGGCGTCCATATGCAATGTTTTCTGCTATGCTTAAAGATACTAAAGCTGGTTCTTTTGTAACAAGTCCTATTTGGCGTCTCAACCATTCTAGCTTTAGGGTTTTAGTGTTTACTCCATCCAAAAGAACAGAACCTGTTCCCATAAGACGATGATGACAAATATTAGAACTGAAAACAGAAAGAGTAAATTAGAATTAGGGTTCATGTGATTTCTATTTTTTATTAGTTGTAGTCCTTATTTCAAGTTTTCATATCAATTTGGTCACTAGAAATTTTGTCCTTATTTCAATGAGCATATGGATTTTGTTCTTTATTGAGTAAATCACATTTTCAGACACTATATCTGTTTTTCAATTTTTGTTCCCAAAAGTTTTCTCTTGCAATTTAGTCCTTGTTTAAGGTTTTTGTAACATTTTTGATCCTTGTTTCAAGTAAAATGACTGTTTTTTGAACCAAAATTGCAAAAATCAGCAATGGTTAGTGACCAAAAATGTACTTTACTCTTCATTCTAGGACCAAAATCAACATAAAACCTTGTAAGGAGGATCAAAACTGAAAAAGATTTCAATTTTGGACTAAACAAAGTAAAACTCAGATAGTACAAAGTACAAACACTATTTTTGTAATACAATAAAAAAAAATTAAGATTGTAACAGCTAAATGTAAAACCCTTGTAGAGTCAGAATCATGTTACCCAAAGTTGGATCATAATGCCTTTCCAAAAGAGGAATTAAGCTGCTTTTTCCTGATCCACTTCTTCCCACAAGTGCCACAGTTTTCTTGGCAGGGACAGTAAGGTAAATTCCATTCAAGATAGAAATCCCAGGACAAGAAGGATAGCTAAAATAAACATTCCGAAACTCAATCTTTCCTTGAACACAAACTAAACTATGTCCATCTGAATCATCATCTGTACAAGTAGACCCCGCATGTCTTATAACCTCATACAGTCTGTATGCAGCTATACGCCCTTCCTCAAATGAACACAAATTCCTAGACGCCTGATTCAACCCACTACAACATAACATCAGTAAACAAAATGACAATATTACCCTTTTCCAAGAACTTAAAAAGGAAAAATATGCTTACAGGCCACTTAAAACTATAGCGAAAATGGATGTCACGATTTCAGCACCTGTGCATTTTCCAGTTGTGACCAAAAACCTTCCAACCCAAAGTTGTAAAGCACAAGAACACATTCCAAATCCATATGTGAATCCAAATCCAAGTCCTTGAACAAGACTTATAATGATCCCATATTTTAATGTATCTTGAAGAGAAGAAGCGTAAGAATGCTTGGCTAATGCTTCATTTGTGAATGCATATAGTGTCCTAATGTTTGATAGTGCCTGAAAAGAGTATTAATTTGTCATCAACCTTTCTTTTTATTCCATATGTAAAAACCCACAAAAGATTTACATGTTTACACACCTCTTTAGCAACACTTGCAGCATGATCATTAGCATCTTGAAGGTTTTCTTGAAACCTATAGAAAAATACATTTGAAATCCTACCTGCAGCAATGATTATTGGGCCTGTTGCTAATGCTACAAATGCAATCTGCCAGCTGTTTAAAAATGCAATGACAAGTCCACCCAAGCATGTTGCTATGTGCTGAATGTAATTCCCAACCTGATTAAATTTTGTTCTTTAAATTAAATATGGAAAAACCAGAAGTGATTATGAACAAATATGAGAGAAAATCTTTATACCTTTTCACCAATAACAGATTGGATGACTTGAACATCAGTCAAGATTTCGTTGACTATGTCCCCATTGTTTCCATATGTATCGAAAAAGGTCATGTTCTGGTTTAATATAACTTGAACATATTTGGTCCTAATTACAGCAGTTTGTCTTTCAGCAGTAAGAATCCAACACCAAACCTCTGTAAGTATGAAGGTAAATCAAAAGATTCATATGGTATTTAGTAAAATTTAAAATGTAATAAACTTTTATCTTACCAATCCATCCAGCAGTAAAAACAGTTAAGCCTATATACACGATATACAGAGCATACTGCATATTGAAAACAACAAACAGTTCGTGAGAAATTCTGAAAGAAATTAGAGAATTCGAATAGAATATGACACTGAGTACCTGGGAAAAATGGTCGAATAGTTGATCTGCATTATTACGTAAGCTCAATAAATGAATAATCTTTCCAAATAAATGTAAAAACACTACGAGGGATGCACCATGAACAACAGCACCTAACGAACCCAACATAATCAGAAGAAAATCAAGCCCGTCTGCACAGGCAAACAATGCCAGAAATGGCACAGCCGATGGCGGAATCACTTCCTCCTCCTCCTCCTCCTCGATATCATCATTCCTTCCATTAAACTTCCGGCGACTGGTGGTTGTGTCCAAGTAAGGCAACGGGGAGTCAGGAACTTCGGGCTTCTCCAATACCGGCGTCAGGGGCTGGGGCTCCACACCTTCCGGCGGAGTCCAGAACATTGTTCAGAATGGAAGCTCGATTGGGTGGTGTGTAGAAAGTAATTTGAAAAACGTAATGATTGAAAGATGGAGATATCGATGATTAGAAGAAATAATCATAGGTTAGGAGATATAAACATGAAATGTGGAATCAAGAGGTTTGACTGATTGTTTGGAGTTTGGATTCTTGATTCCGTTTACTGTATGTGCATGCGTGGGTTTTCTCCCTCTAGGTTCCCGCCACCATATTTTGGATGTCACTCTCGTAAGCGTTAAAGCAGAGGAAAGAAAAGGTTAGGGTGCCTTGGAAAATTGTTTTTATTTTCTAAAAAAATGTTTTCAGAAAATAAAGTTGAGTTTTCATTTTCAATTTTCAATGAAATTTCTACGAAACGCGTTTGGTTGAAATCGGAGGAGTTTTCGTTTTCCATGTTAGAAATTTGGAAAACTGTAAAAATCACTTTTCTAATTTACATACAATTTGGAAAACTGAAAATTTTCATTTTCTTGGAAAATTTTGAAAAAATGAACGAACCAAACGCGTTTTCAAAATTTCCATTTTTCTTGAAAAGTTTTCCTAAAAAGCTGGAAAATTTTCCACAACCAAACGCACCCTTAGTTTTTACTTTTTAGACAAAAGAATTAGGTTTTTACATAAATAGCCAATAGTTTTGTGGAAATTATCCTATGGGCTGTGAAATTGGTTTCATAAGCACCATGGTCATGCAGTGTTGGGGTCCCACGGATGTTTTTGACATCCTTATAAGTATGATTCCAATAAGATTGATTTCCATTAACACGAGACTAAAATCTAACATAAATTCTAGGGAAAATGAATTATAAGCCCAACAAAGTCTTCAAACCGTTCAAAAAACCTCAATTATGTTTTGTCTATTCAAGATAACCCAACGAACTTAACCTTTTGTCTAAAAAAAACCCAACTAACTTACACTTCTCATTTAGGGTCAACCGGCTAATGAAAGTCAACGAATGACATGGCTTATTACGTGTAATTACATATCGGAAAATGACTTGTAAGACCAACGAAGATTCAAAACCGTTCAAAAACCCCAATCATGTTTTTTTTGTTGAAAAAAACCCAACGAACTTACGCTTTTGTTCAATTCTCATTAGAGGCAACCAGATTCATTAGGTATACAACTAGTTGGAAAATGACATGACATTATATTTAATGACATGGAATAAACATATTAGAATTGGCCCTTATATATCGATTTAGGGCTTGGAGAAGAGAAAAACGAATGACGTCTGTGTTCGATCTCTTGTAATATCTACTTCTTCTTCTTCCTCTCAATCGTTGATGTCCAACTCAATATCTACAAAGAAGATATTTGATGATGCAAACTCTTGTGGATGTAGACGTCCTTCTTAGATTTTGACATCTAGAATGGAGGATCATCCAGAGATAATGTTTAGGGCTTGTTCGAACAGATGGGTAAGTGTAATTGAAAGCTTTATCATGTCCATTTTGATAAGTTTTTGTTTTAGAAAGAAACCAAACAAATAGATAGAGTATGGACATGATAAAGCTTTCAATTACACTTACCCAACTGTTCGAACAAGCCCTGAACTTTGTTCGAACAAGCCCTGAACTTTTTTTCTCTGGATGATCCTTCGTTCTAGATGTCCAAATCCAAGAAGGGCGTCCATATCCACAAGGGTTTTCATCATCAAATATCTTCTTTGTAGATCTTGAGTTGGACATCAACGATTGAGATGAAGAATAAGAAGTAGCTATTACAAGTGATCGAACACAGACGCCATTCATTTTTCTCTTCTCCAAGCCATAAATCGATATATAAAGGGCAATTATAATCTGTTTATTCCATGTCATTATATATAATGCCATGTCATTTGCTAACTAGTTGTATACCTATTGAATCTGGTTGCCTCTAATGAGAATTGAACAAAAGCGTAAGTTCGTTGGGTTTTTTTCAACAAACAAAACATGATTGGGGTTTTTTTGAACGGTTTTGAAACTTCGTTGGTCTTACAAGTCATTTTCCGATATTTAATTACACGTCATAAGCCATGTCATTCGTTGACTTTCATTAGTCGGTTGACCCTAAATGAGAAGTGAACAAAAGTGTAAGTTAGTTGGGCTTTTTTAGACAAAATGTTAAGTTCGTTGGGTTTTCTTGAACAGACAAAACATAATTGGGTTTTCTGAACGGTTTAAAAACTTCGTTGGGCTTATAAGTCATTTGCACAACAATATTAAGACATAAACATAAAGATGTCATCTTTATATACAAACAAACGAGCAACACCAACAAGATCTCTTACATCATAATTATATACTACATCCATAAATTCTATTTGCACAACAAGATCTTTGATAAAATTATGCAACCCGTGACGCTGGTAATAAAAATTGGTGTGCCTATCTACTACATCCATCTTGGTTACCATCAAATGAATCGACACATAATAATTTATATCTGCAAGCAAATTTATAACCTAGTCCCTCCATTATGATGTCAGTTTCAACAATATTAACTGTAAGGGTAGAATTGTCCTTTTACTGTATCAGGGGCATATATGTAATTTTTGGTTATCTGGTTGTTATGAAAGTAGTTAGTTAGTTGATTTCTGTTTATGTAATAAGCTTTGTAATGATTCAGCATGATTGAATGAATTCATAAATGAGAAAAGTTTCAATCTCTCTCAATCTTCTTTCAATCTAACATGGTATCAGCTTGATCCTTCATTTTTCTTCCACAAATTTCATTGTTCTTCCTCGAAATTGTTTCAATTTCTTTTGTTTCAATGACTTAATCATCAACGATTTCTTCTCAAACATTGACTATTAACATCACGAGTCCTTACTATCTTGGATCTTCTGATAATCCGAGTCAAATTCTTGTTACTACTGTCTTTAATGGCGTTGGTTTCTCTGCTTGGAAGAGATCGATGATCATCTCTCTTTCATCCAAGAAAAAATTATCATTTGTCGATGGCGCAATTACTGCACTACCTGTCAATTCTCCAACATATTTTGGATGGCATCGTGTCAATTCAATGGTAATCAAGGGGATTCTCAACTCTTTACACAAGAACATCGCTGAAAGCGTTCTCTTCATACCAACTGCACACGAGATCTGGCAAGAGCTGAAACAGAGGTATGATCAGTCTAATAACGCATTGATCTATCAAATTCAACAACAGCTTTATTCCATTGCTCAAAATTCGGATGACTTTTCCACCTATTTCACGAAATTGACTAAGATATGGGATGAATTACGTGTCGTTCAAGACATTCCTTCTTGTACTTGTAGATCTGCTACTAAGATACAAAAATTCCTTGAAGATCAACGCCTAATTCAGCTTCTCATGGGACTTAATGAGTCATACAAGATCATTCGAGGACAAATCCTGATGATGCAACCTTTGCCATCTATTTCCACATCATATTCATTGATAATTCAAGAAGAACGTCAACGCAATATTACTGCTTCCTCTTTTGTCAATACTGAAGCTATTGTTATGCATTTTTCTTCTGATCCATCACCAAATTCAGTCAAGAAAACTTTTACATGCACTCATTGCAAGAAGACTGGCCATAGCAAAAGTCAATGTTACAGATTAGTTGGTTTTCCTTCCAACTTCAAATTTACTAAAGCAAAGAAAGAGGAATCTAATTCAAGTGTTCATAATGCCACTTCTTTTTCATTTACTTCAGAGCAATACCAACAACTACTTCAATTGCTCAACAACACTTCTCAGTCTTCAACAAGTCATGCCAACACATCTATTGCTGATAATGCAATGACTCCAGAGGGTAATTCTTTTTCATTCAAATCCTTTGCTGCAAATGTATACAAATCATCATTTCTTCTTCACAAACATTACTCATGGATTGTTGATTCTGGAGCAACTGACCATATGTGCTCTAACAAATCTTTTTTTGTTTCTATGACACCAATTACTCAGCCTCACACGATTGGTTTGCCTAATGGTCAACACACATTTGTTTCTTATATTGGAGATGTCAAATTACATGATTATATTATGTTACATGGAGTATTATATATTCCAGAATTCAAGTATAATCTTGTTTCTATCTCCAAATTGACATCTCAACTCAATACTTTTGTTATTTTTACAGATGAAGTCTGCCTTCTGCAGGACCCCTCATTGAAGAATAGCTTCTCTCTTGGAGTTCTTGCAAAAAGAGTCAATGATTTGTATATCTTTGATCATAATCATCTTAAGCATACTCTTTCATATAATTTTTATGTATTTTCATCCTTTTCTAGTTCCAAATCTTTTGTTTCAAACTCTGTATTGAATTCATCTTCTCAGTTATGGCATAATCATTTAGGTCACATTCCTGTTCATAAGATGAAAATGATGTCAATAACATTTGATCATTCTGATCATTCTTCTATTCAAGGTTGTATGATTTGTTCTAAAGCTATGCAACAAAGGTTATCCTTTCCTACAAGTGAATATGTTTCTAATGCTCCATTTGAACTTATACACATTGATGTTTGGGGTCCTTATAAACATGCAACCTATGATGGATTTGATGGGGGTTTTATGCATAAGAACAATCCTATGTGTTCATACAAACCCTAATGCTTGGATCTAGGTTTCTCTATTGTACATGCTTTGAATCCAAGACTTGCAAACCCTCATCTAGCATACATAATATCAAAATAACATATGACATCAGATCTAGATGTTTACCTCTTCAATAGTAGCTTGAATCTTCTTCTCTTGAGCTTAGAATCACAATTGTAATTCCTCTAATGGATCACAAACACCACACAAGCAAGAAGGTAACTTGAGAGAGGAGGGAGGATGCTTAATTTCGGCCCTAGGGTTTCTCTTGGGAACAAGTGGCCAAAAATTGAAGCCTTTGGGTCTTATTTATACTGTAGGGTGCTAAGGTTTCAGTCTAAACCCTAATGGATAGCTTAGCCACCAAGCAGCCCAAGGAACCTTCTGGAATGAGGCCTTGGACGAAAATATGATGATCCTTCATCATAATTTCG